CCGTTCCAATATATCCTGAATTAACCATTCCGCCTGTACGGATCAACACGCGAGCGCGGTCGGCTGCTCATTTCGAGGAGCCTGCACCGTACTGTGTGTCAGCGAATGACCTTGTGAATCCCGTTCCACCTTCGTTGTTCTATGGTTCGGGTTGGGAAGTTGCACACCCTCCGCCTGGCGTGTCGCCGTTGTTGACGGCGGCGTATTACTGGCACAGTTCGATGGCCCTGAGTAGGTTACGGGTGCCTATCCGAGTGGGGCAGGTGATGTGGGCATATATTATTTAAAGGAACCAATCAGGGATATCGGAGAGGGAAGTCAGCTAGAGTGCTGGGTGGATGATAACTTCGGAGGGGCTGTCACATCGAAAACTCGGGTGACATTTCAATCCGACCCCAGCGTACGTCGTATCCCTCATTTATATTCTCCTCTGAGATTGACCTGACAGACTCGAAATGATCGACCAAATGGTCTCTCGTGGGTCTCACTATGTCGAGTGTCTGCTTATAGGAGACCCGGGACAGACTATTCCTTCATTCAAGGTCCTAGGCGTTTTCTCGACGTGACCCCTCTTGCGTTCGGTTTTGTCTTGTGGAAATGAGAGTTATGCTGAATACCTTTGACGCTTTGAATAGACATTTGCATATTTGTTCGCGCACTAGGATGTAGCTTTCGATGGACTACAGATATCATAGTAAAAGCACTGCCACGGCTGGATCGTGGGAACATTCTGGTTCCGCTGGTGACGCATCTGCGGCGCAGCTTACGAAGCTGTGAGGACAACAAAAACTCAGCGGGATCCTCGCATTTGTACCATATCCTTGACGAACGACACACACGACAGAACTAACGAACCATGGCAGGCAGAAGAGGTCCTCCAACGGGTACGTAGACAAGGACACCCCTGGGTGACCCTATCTCTGACTATCCCGTCTTTGACGCACAGGCGCTCCACCGGCATATTCGTATGTGATGAGGGTTTACAAACGGAGTCTGCGACCAGTCGTCCTGGGGAGTAAGTGTCAACTCGTCCTCATTTTGTGGTCCGTGGTCTCAATATGGATGTAGCGGCCATCGTTTCCGCCTTGTGGTCTCTAGCACTGTAAGTATACCCCACATCGTGATAATTGATGGCGGACCATCGTTCACTTGGTGCTCTTTTAGTGCTGTAAGACACCCGTCCTTGAACATGATCATTGACTCATCCCCGATATCGCCTCAAGGTTTCAGGTTATAAGGAACTTACCACAGACGAGAATGGTGTGTCTCTCGGTCTATGAAAGTCCTTATGACGCTGACACGGTCAGATAACTTTCACAAACTCGTCCCGTTGGCAGCCGTGCAGGGCGCCTTGTATACCGTTGTCTTACTCTTCCAGGGGTTCGGGATAGCGGCGGCAGCTACGGTATGCTCAGCCGTCGTGGTTGAGGCTAGCCATTATCTGACGTCAGTCTCAATTAGCAACGCACCAGACTCATCAGGATTCACATACTTGTCCGCCCTGTCAACGTTGTTGGCAGTGGGGGTGGCGTTCATGCGTGTTATCACTCATTTCACATTCAAGGTTCGTGGATTTCGGATATCATTGTATATTTCTGGTATATTCATGGTATCTCAGAGCGACTTGATCGCCGAGTGCGAGGTTCTTGCTCAGAACGGAAGTGTGGACTCGGTAGGTTGCAAGTTGGTGCGCTTACACGCCAGTCGGTTTATGTGCCTTTTTTTTTCAAGATGTTTGGGTTCTGGGAACCTAGTCCAGGATCTGACCTTGATGCTAGTGATGCGGTGTCATGTCAGTATTTATGGAATGGTATAGGCGAGTGATTGACCTGCATTTGCTAGATTGCAACGACCAGTGGTCCCACGATTCTTGGGCTGAATTCTCTTGCTTATTTTGCTGGGTCAGTCATGATCCCACTAACCGGCGGTATGCAAGATGGGGTACTGACCCAATCCGATGCAGTTGTCGGGCTGCTGTTTACCTCGATTGCATTCGCGTACTACCGCCAGGTGATCGATCCCACAAGTCCTGTCAACTCCTCTCGTGCACCAGCAAACCAAGTGAGGATGGACGATTCCCCTCCTACAACGCTCCATATGACGTTCCTGCCTATGCACCACCGGCTGGCCCACCACCATTTGAGGGTGAAGGCAAGCCGCCGCAGTACAATTACGGGGGTTACACGTCCTTCGAAGATAACAAGGCAAAGGAAGAGGATTCCAAGAACGATCCGTTTTCAGATTATGTGACGCCGCCTATGCCCACTCATTGGGCAGAAGAACGAGATGTCACGTCCAGCAAGTGAGCTCGTGCTCCGAAATACATGGAACGATTACCTTTTTTTTTCTCAGCTCGTACATTAGCCGAATGATGAGTACTGGAGACCATACATAAAATATGTCTAGTTAGTCGCTACACTTTGTGTCGTATACCGCTGTTCTACTATGAAGGCTGTGCTTGCCATATGCCTCCTGCAAAAGCGAGAACCAAAAGAGTTGTTGGGAGCAGCACAACAACATGAATCTCGACGAGGCTTCTTCCCGTTCTCAGTATGCCTCCATCGTCGGCGGCATGTCATTCTCGTTGGTTTAGTGCTCTCTATCTTCCTCAGTCAACCGCCTGTTCGGACCACCCCCGTACGAAAGACCGACAGGCTCCAGTCTGAGTTATGGAAGCGCTCACAGCGCGTCCTGCGGTGACGGCTTGCGTGGATAGTAGCTGGACTATGTTCTGCAGGTGTGGTGGGCACTTGGGTAAGGAAATGGTACTTTGAGCAGAATGCGATCGGAACATTGGACGAGATCAAAATAACCAGAGCAAAAGTCAATGCGCTCTGGTTCTCGGTATGTCGCACAGTTTCATTTCTGCGGGGCGCGCATAAACTAGACACGTTGCAGAGACTTCGTGAAGCTGCCGGGTTCACCCTGTTCGCAACGCTGGTTGCACACATCATCATCATTCTCTTTGGGGCACCTCTGTCAAGGCATGTACTGTGACCCTTTTTTTTAGTCGGTGCAATCCTGAGCACCTTTAAAGCCATCATCTCCAAACGGGTCTCCTAGCTTCTACGATCTCAGTCTTGACAGCCTTCGTACCCGCTTTCGTGTTTGGGTACCCCTCTCTCGCGTCAGACACGCCTGCATTGGTCAATAGGTTGAATTGGATCAGACTCTTCGCTGAACTTTCGTGGGTACACGGCAGTGTGGATTCTCCATGTTCGCTTTGCTGATATACTAGGTGTAGACCCAGAAACGCGATTGAACGCGCTGTGGTCCACCCAGTTGTTGGAACTGTCGTCGGTGCGTGGGTCGGTGCCATTCCTATCCCACTCGACTGGGATCGTCCCTGGCAAGTAAGTACCTGAATGTTCATTTTCATAATATGTTTCATAGTCCCTCGTACTAGGCTTGGCCTTTGACTCCACTGTATGGAAGTCTAGCAGGTTATATCCTAGGTTCCTTGTGGCACTCGCCGTCAACTCTGTGAAATGGCTGGCGAAGAGCAACTGCGTTCGGTACAGCCGTCTACAAGTACAAATCTAGTTGAGAGCCCACAAAGTGGCGGAATAAATTATTTGGCGGGGGTATACCCGATGCTTGCTTTGCATAAGTCTCTATTACGACGACTCTGCTGAACGCAGATCCCCGATGGATGGTGTGACGTAGTCGGGCACGACGGTGGAGGCATTCGGGCCAGTGATATGATCTTCTGAGGTGACACCTGCCGTGTGTAGAACGAACGATTCGTGAGTGACCTCGGGAACTGGTGGACTCCCCGTACCCGTCAGGACAAGAAGAGTGGCGAGACCACCAGCTTGCCCGAACAATATGTCGGTATTCAGCCTGTCGCCTATCATGATCGTATGCTTAGGGTCGAACTGAACCCTACCGAAAGGGCATCAATCTCTATCTTTCTGGATGAGAATAGAGGTATATACTTGGCTTGAATGCAGTCTAACATGGTCTTTGCCGGCTTTCCTATACTGAGCGGGTCTCTGTTCAGGGCAAATCGTAGCGGCGCACTGATAGCGCCGGCTCCAGGCAGAAGACCATGCGCGCTTGGAAATGTACTGTCCTCATTCGTGACCAGGAATCGACAACTCGGGTCACGATGAAGATAATGAAAAGCCTTTGCAAGCTTCGTGTAATTGATCGCGCTATCGAGACCACACAGCACTGCAGCAACGTCCGGGTCTGGTATGAAGTCGGCTAGAGAGAACGGCTCCAGCGTGCAGTCCGCTGGATCCTAGTGTCACCGTATGCATGAGATGCCGAGCACATGGCGAAGTAAATGGGAGGTGACTGACTGACCGTGCCGCCGACGTAGGACACACCCTCGTTACACAGCTCTTCCTCGATGCCAGACATGCCAATGACGAATACCTTTTTGTCTTTAGGGAGCTTCATCACGGAAGAGATGTACACTGCAGCTGCGTATGCAGAGCCATATATTTCGTCCTGATTAGATTAGAGAATCTCGGTTACCTTGGCGCGACAGATCGGGACAGACAGAGCAACATGTCGCGACACCTACCACGTGTGCTTCAATGCCGAGCTGATCGAACTTGGCTTTGTAACTTCTCCGGGACTTAGTTGCATTGTTCGTCACGAAGAGTAGCCGCTTTCCTGATAGAATGCTAGTTATCTCGGGGGTTCGCGACACAATAACCACGACACGAGAGCGATAACATTTCACAACGACTTGCCTCGTTTGCGTAACATATCGAGAACCTCGACTGCACCTCTATCGGCCGATCGCCATGCCAAAGTACCCCATCGCAGTCAAACATCCAAGTATCATACTTGTTGAGGAGAGCCTCATATTGCTCTGCAGCAGAGAGTCTGACAGCCATGTCTGTCTGATTTGAGTGGGAGACTAGAAAGAATATAGCGGGAGTGAACCAGCTGATTGCAGTGAAACGCCCGCTTGCCCGGGTAAGTGGGAGGTCTCCCAAAATTCCGACGACGTAGTCATCGGCACAAACACCAGCACATGCGCGGCCCGCTTAGCTCAGTGGTAGAGCGCATCACTTGTATCATCGATGATGAGGTCGGTTGTTCAATCCAGCCAGTGGGCACTTGCATTTGAAGGTCCTTTTTTTTTTTTTCAATATTGCTGCCGATTGATACGGAAGTAGTTTCCGTTTGATACGTAGATTACACCGTCAGTGCTGAAAACGTACACGAAAACGTATTTAGATCTTCGACGTTGTGAATGTCCGCCTCTCTCTCATGAATCCAAGCGCGATGCCGCTGCCAGCTGCCGACCTCCATCTGCACCAATTCGCGCAATCTCGCAAATCAAACGGTAACGACGCATCTGCCTGCAGTGCACCTACCACATATGATCTGTCACACAGGGGGAAAAGACTTCAGCACAAGGTTTGGATGGCGAGGCAGGGTGATACAGACATCACCGTGCTTGTTTTCAGGGGTTCAGTTCGCCCGCCGGTCTTTAGTTCAAAACACATTTATCAAGGGGCATCTTATGCTCGTACCACATTTGTAAGCGCGCAGATACTGTGGACTAGCAGGTTCAGGTATGCAGTAATCTCGAAAGGAAGGCGGCCCGGTAACAGAAGAGCTGGAGTGCTACTTGTCTCCCAGGCAGTGGCACGGGATTCTACGCCCAATTTGACGGTGCGTGGGTCGATGACACATGAATACATCGAAACGTCGAGGCGCTTCCCTTCCTCAGCTGCCTTCTCCACGAGTGTATTATAGACCATGACAGCACAGTGACAGTCATTTGCGGTATCTGCATGTGCAATAGTGAACTCGCGGATCCGGAGTAGGCAAGTCTATGGCTACCTACAGTCTACCATTTCGCTGGTGAGTTTCGCTTCCCAGTTCGAAGTACGCACGCTAGTCTTCACCAGGGTCTTCCCGAGATATACGGAGACCATCTTGGCAAGACTGACGACCTCCCGCTTGTACACAGTTTTGAACTTCTCATCGGCCTTAGCAGCAAGGGCACCCAGCTCTACAAGACCGCGTGCGCGAATGCCGAAGTCGCGATAGAGTTTCTCACCGTCCTCTGTCGTCAATACTGAGAGTCATACCCAGACTAATTGAAGGTCTCCACGTACTCTTTATATTGGCACCTGTCTTCACGATGTTTGGACACTCTATTACCTCCTAGCATTGTGTGAACATGACATTTTGGCGCTCCAGGAACGGTGAAACATATACCAGAACCTTCCTCGGGAACCCTTACGGACAAACGTTAGCACCGTCGTTACAGCGCAAAGATAAGCGATAAGTCGTTACTTTTCATATTGCTGATATGGATAAGCAGAATAGTCTGGCTATCACATAATTGGACCAAGGCTGTCCTACGCTCAGCGGCGCCCGCTTGCCACTTAACCCGCCATTCCATATCGAAACCCAAGGGACTGTCGAAAAGGAGCCTCGCCATATAATTTCTGGGATATGTATGTATGTCTCACCTTTCGAGGGACTGTACGAGATCGTTGGCTTCGTCCTCGCATTGCGTATAGAGGACCGCGGCAGGTGGATTTCGGTAATCGAGATAGCTGTATGTCGGAGTGGTAGAATTCTTGGCATCGTTAGATGGTTTCGCAGGACAGGTTTCGTGCGGCAAATGGTAGAGCCAGCTCCACAGCGCTGGAAGATTGGTGGGCTTCCTGATCGGAAGATGGACTGCCCGAGAAGACTCATGGGACTCCTCGGGAATCCGAACCGCACGCTTTTTCGAATGGGCACTTTTTTCACGCTGAGAGCCACCATATTTGGGAAGGATATAACGACTCACCGATTAATGTTCACTTTCTTAGCCAACTTGAAAGCGCGTGGAGGTGGTGGTTCGGGGCGGCTCCGGTCTATTGGTCTCTCAGTGGCTACCATGGAAAACCCCGCGGCGGGTGCGGCGACGTGACGTATCTTTTGGAGTATCACGTTGGTCGAGCTGGGTGAGATCCCCATCATCTTCTTTGTTGGGTGGCACGCTGGCCTCACCTTGAGCCAGCTCAAAGGCCTGGGTGCGATAGGTTGGAAAAATGGATGTGGCCTGTATACAGGCAAAAGGAAGTTGAGAAGCTGCTGGAGAGCGCGTATCATGCCTTGGTTCACATACGTTCGTGCAGTATTCAACCTGTGGCACGCGTCGGACTCTTCTTGAGCAGTTCGTTGTTTGTTGTTTTCCTTCAGGCCGGCGTCTTTGTTGGGTAAGTATATTCCTTCATAGATTTCTATAGACCAGTCGGATTCCTCGTCCGTTGTCATTGGCTTCTGGTTCAGAACTTCATCCATGAAGCTGGGTAAGTAATTATCGCACGCAACGTTTCAAAGACAACGCGACGCGTTCGTCACGTGGTTGTCTGTCTCGGCAAATGCCAAGGTTTCATTTTGTCATTTCATTTTAAGCTTTAAGGACAGGCAGCGCAGCGCTGAGTCTCGACTGTGTATGAAAGAAAAGGTTAGTGCTTTGCGACAGAAAACACCCGTGATCGATAGAGCCGCGATTGGACCGTGATCACGCGGAGCTTCGCATCTGCCACCAGGCACTGACGTTATAGAGGATGATAAGATGATACCACCCCTCGTATGCCGCATGCCCCTGTCGTCAATCTGCAGCTCGTTACGATACGATGGCAATCCAAAGTGTGCTTCCACATAGCTTGTCTGCGGAGGACTTGAACAGGTCCGTGGACCACGCGCCGTCCTGACTCGATACGGTCACATGATGGGTAGTATTTCAACACTGGTACTTCGGCTCCGTACTGTAAGTACTTCAGCTTCCTCTTCTGCTGTTTCAGTTTGGTGCTAGCTGGTTCTGACGGGGTTCTCAGAGAGGTTCTGGCCGGAGCTCAAAGTCGTAATACCGAAGTCAGCCGTATCATTGGTGCCTTCTGAGTTGAAGTTGTGTGTCATGGAGCAGATACTCCGCTCGGATCTCTTACCGCAGCCATTACGTGTGGTCAAGTGAATGCCTTTATATAAGCAGTACGGCGCGATTGTTTTCTTCTTTCTTACTTCCACACGACGGTTTTCTCAGATCGCTCAATCCCGCACGTTCCCACTAGTAAGCGTCGAGAACCAGCTTGTTTGCAGGACTGTGGTTGTTCTGTTGCGTCACTTCTCAGGCACTGCATTGACGATGTCTGTCCTTTGCACCCCTCTTCTGCGCCGCAAGATCGTGGTGCGCTAGCTCACCATGTGACCAGTACCGTCGACCATCACTATCAAACACAACTAACCCATTGCAGACCTGCCCCAACCATCCCACTGAGTGGCACTTGTGCTGAGCTGTCATGCAGAGCGTTAGAGACAACACCGCTGCTCTCTCCCGCGGTTCCATCCGCGCGGAACATGTTCTGGGATGAACTGAAGATATTGCTCAAGTATTCGCTCCCTATCTTTGGGTCAGTTACTTGCTTGATCCGTACATGGGGTTTCGATTGATCGCGAACTCGGCAGGATTCACGCCTTTGAATACAGTATGATGATGGCTACGGTGATTTCCATTGGGCATATTTCCACAGTCGCGCTTGCGGCCGCTACCTTGGGTTTCATGACCGCTAACGTTACCGGCTTAAGTATCGTTCAAGGAATGGCCAACACCCTCGATACAGTCCTTCCGTCGGCATGGACTTCTGATCAACCCCAGTTAGTCGGTCTCTGGATCCAACGGATGAGTAAGTTCACGCACGTGATAGATGGACGTAACTGACTTCCAGTACAGGTATTCTGATTTCCGTTGTATTGATTGTACGTACTCGCATTTCCCATCTGCTTCGTGTACTGATTCGCCCTTAAGCCCGTGCTTGCATTATGGTTCCACGCAGAGCCCATCCTTGTAGGATTGAATCAGGATCCTGAGGTTGCAAGACTGGCTGCCATCTACTTGAAATGGGCATCGTTAGGACTGCCTGCCTACGCTTTCAATTGTGTATCCAGGTACGGCATATGAACCCTGCGGATGCCATAGGCGCTAATCAATTGTGGCTAGACGTTACTTTCAATCACAAGGTAAAATGGAAGTCTACTGGCTACCAAAAGATAAATTGCCCACTCTCTACATCAATGCAGGACTATTTACTGTTCCAACCCGTATCATTCTTTATGTTGCGCCAATTAACATATTCTTGAATTACCTTCTGGGTAGGTGTGGTACTTGCTATTGCTGATCGAGGGTTTGACCATGTTCAGTATGGGGACCTGAGCCATTCTGCTTGGGCTTTATAGGGGCGCCTATTGCAACTTCGATTTCTTACAACTTTGTGGCTGTCGCATCTGTCGTTTATGGTGTCTTCTTCGTTCCGAGAACCGCCTGGCATCCGATCTCAGTGAGGGCATTCACGAACTTGGGTTATTTGTCCAAACTAAGCGTTGGCGGTGTTGGTAAGCACCTCACGGATGCATCTGGACTTCTTTCACAAATGGCTTTAATACAGGGCAACTTGCGTCCTCGTGGTGGTCATGGGAACTCGTTGGACGTGCGTGGCTATTCCTTCTATTTTACTGACTTCATATCTGCCGACCATCGGTCACAGTCGCCGCAAGCTTGTGAGTTTGTGACTAAGTTGCTCCCACGTAGTCCTGAGCTTCTTTCAGCCTTGGTCCCACCACTTTGGCGACCCAGTCTGTCCTTATTACGACCTCCTCGGCTTTCTTTCAAGCGCCTTATGCTCTGGGCATCGCTACTTCTGTTCGGTGAGTGCTTCCTCTGTGTTCCGTTATTTCCTTTTTTTTTAATGCATCCCGGTTGCAGTATTGGAAACCTCTTAGGAGAGCAGAACGCGAGGCGCGCCAGGGCTGTCGTCAAAGCATCTTTCCTGCTTATCATTGTACTCGTAACCCTCTTCAGGTTCGCGTGACATGAGAAATTGGCGTTGGTACCCAGCTGTTTATGTGTTATCTTTGCAACAGTTCTACACTGCTAATTTTCCGCCGATCGTGGGGTTATTTGTTTAACAACGACCCTGGTATGAGTGCCCAAAGCACCTTTTGCGATGTACTCTGAACATATATTTTGGCAGAGGTCATCGAACTGGTCGCCGCTGTTCTTCCACTTGTTGCGCTCGTGCAGATATTCGATGATAGCAGCGCGGTAGTC